TAATATATATATATATATATATATATATATATAGTATAGTGTAGTAGGTGTGTGTGTGTAGTGTGTGGTGTGTAGGTAGTTTAAGGTAGGGTAGAGAGAGAGAGAGAGAGAGAGAGAGAGAGAGAGAGAGACTCAGAAGTGGGGCGTGCACCACTTCCACTTGACATACCTTCCCATCCTGTGTTGTCTATTTGTTTACGTATGTCCTTTTACCGTGACAGAATGGTGTGGAACAATCAGACTATGATTCAACCTGTTATAGCCAATAGCACTGCTTTGGCTTGTTGATTCCTACCGAATGTATTTCTAGTCGCTCCGTTAACTCGCATGTATAAATAATAAATATGTATTGTGGACTATAAATACATTGAGTTCGGTGAAGTTCAAAATCTGCTCTATGTTCTACATACATACAGTTCAGACAAGCTCGTTTTTGATTAGAGGGAGCGGCTTTTCCGACGAGTCATCAATTGCATATTGCGCGTGTACCACATAAACGAATTTGCGACATCAGAATCCCCTGTACAAAATATTGTTTTAAATTTCAGTGCATTTATCCTCCTCGCTGGACCTGGTCATCAGGTCATGATCGTATTTTTTAATGTTTTTTCTTTTGGTGTTGTTTTTTGCTTGGTTTTTTCTAGAACAAAATACAAGTACAAAAATATAAAATGTACAATTGTACATAAATATATTAAATACATCATTTACGGTGCACTGAATAACTGATTCTGGAAAAGGGTCGCGAGCAGAAATCAGGTTTCTTCCGACGACAGGCCCAGGGCGGACTGCTCATCGCTGTTTTAAGCGTTCGCGCCAAATATTTACTACCTGTCTAAAAATAAATACATCCGCCCCTTTATCTTTACCATCAACTTGTAAAAAACCTCCCTGCATAAATACATGCGTTATTTTTCTGGTGTGCACTATTCACATTCATGGCACTATCACACTCTCACGTCCTCACAAGACATAACTACATACAGCAACAATGACTTCCTCTGAGATTTCCGCGAGCGTAATCAAAAGCAATGGCGACTCCGCCGCGGATATACAACAAACACATGTCAACGCAGTGAATCTAGCCAACGGAGAAAAGGACAAGGCTGATTTAGTACAAGGTATACTTAACCAAGTACAAACAAGGTTTCAGGTAATGACCGATACAGTCGTAGAAAAGATAGACTCTATGGGTAAGCAGATAGATGATCTGCAGACCCAGATTGCTGTACTGGAAGATCAACTGAAGAAAAATTACCCCGATGATTCGGCGGACAAGTAGGGACTTTGATAATTAGTAGCTGTTGGTTACTATGGTTACATTATTGTTAGATGCAGCAAGTATTCTTTTTTTGCGACAGCGAGTGAGGTTTTGACATTTACTATCAACCATGCTCAGGTGTCTTCCAATGCAGGCCAGTGCATTGAGCCTTCCCTTTCAAACTGAGTTGTCAAAGAACCATTCATAAGTTGTAGGATGTGTAGGTTTTCAGTTTTCTACTTGCGGAGGAAATACCACACCATTTAGCAAGACGTATTGCTATACAGAACTTCTTGTTGTACGGGTTCTTCTTATTAATGAGAAAGGAGAGAGGATTCCATGAGCGTACAAGAATTTGCGTGCTGTATGCACTGTTTTGGAACAAACGCTGATCTCACAGGGACAAGGAGTGTATCACACTCCAAGGCAAAAAGTTGACACTGTATGTATTCATAACTATGAGGAGCATATGGAGCAGTTGTCAATTGTATGAAGTTTAAGGAGTGGTTGTCTGGGAGCATATGCTGAGTCTTCGAAGAGTCCCATTTATCAACGTACGAATCATTTGAGTAAACAATGTTTGCGAAATTCCCGGAGACTTCAGAACAGAACTGTTGACATAGCCATACATTTGAATACAAATTTTCCAAAGGTGCTTGAGCGCACGAATTGTCTATCTCTTGTTAGAATTGGCGGTGTGTGTAGCATTTTTTGGGCTTTCCGTTCGACAATACGTATACATGCTTTATGCGCAGAAATATATATAGACTTACATTTTCACATTTATATTCGTTTATTTTATGAGACCTAAGCATATTGTAAATATATCTGTATCGAAGACACAATATATATGTGTATATATGTATGTGTGTGTGTGTGTGTGTGTGTGTGTACACGTGTATATATATCTATATATATTATTATATATTATTATATATTATTATATTATTACATTATTATATCATTATATTAAACCCTGTGTCATACGCAACTATACGCGTGTGTGCATGTGTGCTAGTCATGGCTGGGCATGTGTGTGCCTTAGTCCCACCAACAAAGTAACACCACATCCCCCCACATACAGAACACGTCTCTCCCATGTCACACCACAGCTCAATCTGCACGATCCCATCTCTCGTACTACTTCATAGACACAGAAGAAGAGCCGGTCGACTAACATACCCATAGGGATGCGTATAAAGGTACCTTTAGATGGAGTGCTTGACAGCCCACATGGCGTGTTCGACCTCTCCGCTGAGCAGCTACGAGCAGTGGGGGGTGCGTCACGAAATAGCACGGCTGTCACACCCATTGGCGAACTACAGACCAAAAGCGGCGTAGTGATACACAACCATGCCAGTGAGAGTGCGGAGGTGTGTACGTACGGCAGTGTACATGTGTTAGTGTGAGTGGGAGAGTCCTATAGACGCGGATGAGTTATATATACAGCCAGGAGAGTATGCTTTTAGCTATTTGGGTCGGGATATGCCCATAGTTTTTGTTTTTTTTCTATCTGGACCTACTGGAATCTGTGATTAGTTCATCGCTTATAACACTTCTCAATTACAAACTCATAGTATCATCGATAACCACTACTCTGTATGCCACCGGACCCCTATCTGACACGTTACACTGCGCTATCTACCTACACGTCACACTGCTCTATATACCTACACGTCACACTGCTCTATATACCTACACGTCACACTGCTCTATATACCTACACGTCACACGGCTCTATATACCTACACGTCACACTGCTCTATATACCTACACGTCAGGGCGCTGATTTCACAGAGCTAGAACTGAGCAAGATGGTAGCGGACCTCGAGCACGAACTAGAGGTGGAGACCAACATTATGCAAAGCATATGTCAGCTAAAGAGCGTGCTTATCGAGAACCAACTCACCGCCAGTGCCTCCCCCAGACCCGGGAAGAAAACAGCCGCTTCGGAAGTCAGTTCGAAGAAGCAGCTCGTGAGTATTGAGAAGAGGGCGCGGCACACACAGGACCGGCTGGACCAGTTGGAGAGTGGTGAGTGTGGAGTGCGGCTGATGCTGTGTGCGAGTACGCTGACGATTGGGTTCTGAGCCGTGCATTGGTTTGTGTGTCATAGTTGCTTTTGTGACCTGCCCTGTCCTGTCCTCCCATCCAGAGGGACGTGTACTGTACCTCTGAATGATGGGGCTGTCTGGTAAATGATTGGGTGGCATCTATGTCTCACACGTAGGGTTTAGGGTTTAGGGCTAACTAATAACTTATTTTCTGTGGTATACCTGTGTTGCATAGCCTCATCAACTACATTTCGTTCGTTCACGTCCTTTCCTTACAGAGCTGAGCGTAGCGCGTCTGATCCAAAGCCGTGCCCGAGCACTGATACGGTGATGCCGATGGCCATGGTAAGGGCACGCTTGGCTTAGCGGATGACGTTGATCCGTATGCACATACTATATCCACACCATACCAGATCAGACCAATACAAGCAGACGACGCTGTTTGACAGTTGCCAGCAGGACGGGGAATGGGTATCCATCACGCGCTTCTTCACTAAAACCCTAAAACCCTAAAATCCTAAAAGAATGCACGCATACACGGCGCTGTGCAATTCACTACACGCCTTCGGCTGATCGTGAACGGAGTTTAGAGCCAATGGCTGTTGTTGCCGGTGGGTGGCGTATTGCAATGAGCACTAGAACTCGTTGCCGCCCCACGAGAGAGAGTGTGTGAGGGGGAGGGGGGTTAAAAGTGGGGGCCATAGTTCATCCTATACTCCCTGCATACACTTATGGGGTCTAGTTGGTATCGTCCGGCAAGCCAGTGAAAGTGGACACGCCGCAGGCTGCCGGATATACTCAGGGCTAGAGACTTCTAGCGAGTGCTGACCTACCTTTGTACACTGCCAAACTATACTCAGATGGTTCAAATCCCGATATACTAGAGAGATCACGGGACAATGTCAATATCCCACATTGAGAGGCTTCCCCCACCAATCCCCCTTGGAAGGATAGTAAACTCCTGAAAGTGTACTTTGTGTACGCGCAAATAGCTTTTTTTTTTTTGGGATAGTATTTGAATGCTTTTCTTCTCACTGCTTCGCGCGTTGGCTTGATAGTAGCGACAAAGTTGTTAATGGAAAGTGCCGCATGTAATAAAACACCAATACAATGCCTATGCCACACATTACACGTTTTGTTGCTATTAAAGGACGCTACTGTGATAAAAAAAGTGATGAATTAAAGGCTGAGTCCATGTTAACTGACTGTGTTTGTTGTAAGATAATTTAGAGTCTATTGTTTAGGTCATAAGGAGGCTATACCATATACAGTCAGATTATACGACAATAAAGATTTGAAATTTAAATACAAGCGAATCGTTATCCAAATTGGTTTTACTATTTTAAGCGTCCCACGGTCCCTGCAGGCTGCAGTGTGCGGCCTAAGCTACTGTGACATAGCCCTCGGTACTATCATAATTGTAATGCTAGTAAATGCTAGTAAATACTAATATAAATATAGCACTACAAAATACTAGTAAATACTAGTATAAATACAATACTAGTAAATACTCCTATACATATAATATTGGTAAATACTACTAAAAATATGATACTAGTAAATACTACTACAAATATAATACTAGTAAATACTACTATCAATACAATACTAGCAAATACTACCATAAATATACTACTAGTAAATACCACTACAAACATAATACTCGCAAATACTACTATAAATATACTACTAGTAAATACCACTACAAATATACTACTAGTAAATACTACTATAAATATAATACTAGCAAATACTACTATAAAAATACTACTAGTAAATACCACTACAAATGTAATACTAGTAAATACTACTACAAATATAATACTAGTAAATACTTCTATAAATATAATGCTACTAAATACCACTACAAATATAATACTAGTAAATACCAATATACTAGCAAGTACTACGATAAATATACTACTAGTAAATACCACTACAAA